TAAGATCACTTAATAATGTATTGTAAATCATATACAAATCGTACCTAAGTTTTATTACTTTGGAAATTGAGCAGAAAGAATTGCTAATATAAATTATTTAATCAATACCAAAATTTGCACCTCTTTATGTATACTGTATAGAGGTATCTCTGACATGTTTTTCCTTTACAGATATGCTATCATCTGCTTGGACTAGTACATGGAATCTGGACACCTATCCCTCGTGCTGTAAGTATTGGATAATGTATCTGCATCCGTTTCCTCTGTCATATTCTAATGGACTTTTGTCGCTCTATCTGTAACATTTTTCAACAGATGAAAGACTACATTGCCACCCCTAAGCCTAATGGCTATCAAAGTCTTCATACAACAGTGATTCCATTTCTTTATGAGAGCATGTTTCGTTTGGAGGTTCAGGTATACTCATGGCACCCCCAAAACTAAGGAATAATAAATATATCAGTTACACCCTCTATTCCAATATGTATGTCCCACCTATTTTGAAATGTACCAAAATGTTTGACACCATTCTATCTTCTAGAAAATTTCAATTTCAAGAATTCAAATACATTGCACTCTTCAAATTTGAACTCCCCTTTGATGTTTCCCAATCAAACTAACATTTCAGCCATTATTTAAAAATATTTTGTTTCACTATGTGTGGGAATATATATATACTCCTGAAATGTTTTTTTAAAAAGTAAAAATAATCCTGTTGAAGTGTCTTTGGCATTTTACTTTATGATGTTATGAATTTGCCTCTGGTTTATTGACAAGTCAGCACTTATTTGTTTCTGATTATCGTCGAGCAACTTGATTATACGTGCGTAATGTTTGGCAGATAAGAACTGAAGAGATGGACCTCATAGCTGAAAGAGGCATTGCTGCACATTACAGTGGGAAAGGTTTTGTAAATGGTTTAGTTGGGCATGTTATAACCAATGATAAAAGTTCTGGAGGGAAAATAGTCTGCCTTAACAATGCCAATATTGCTCTCAGGGTATAAAGTATATTGCTTTTGCTAAACTGTCTAGTGCCTTAATATCTGTGTGGGCTTCATCTGTAACTATTATTATGGGGTAAAATTCCTTCTCTGATGTAGATTGGCTGGCTGAATGCAATTAGGGAGTGGCAAGAAGAGTTCGTTGGAAACATGAGCTCTAGGGAATTTGTGGACACTGTTACCAGAGATCTGTTGGGCAGTCGTGTCTTTGTCTTTACACCCGGAGGAGAGGTGACTTCTGTGTGATTTTTCTACTCAATTTGTTCCCTTTTTGAGTCCTGTAACATCATCGCTATACCACTTTGCTATATTTGCAGATAAAACATCTCCCAAAGGGGGCTACTGTCATTGATTACGCATATATGATACACACTGAAATTGGCAATAAAATGGTGGCTGCTAAGGTCTCAATCTTGTTACTATAGGTTTTTTTCACAGTATCAGCTTGATACTGTTTTCAATAATATCTCACCTTATAAAAAAATCCCGTTCTATAGGTTTTAAATGCTTCATGAATCTGGATGTGACTGCAGCATCTTATGTTTGCAGGTGAATGGTAATCTTGTCAAACCAATGCATGTACTTGCAAACGCAGAAGTTGTAGAGATTATCACTTACAATGTTAGTTGCTATGAATTCCAATCCTTCTTTTGCCTATGTTCTCTATCTTTTATTCTTTTTTCTCTTCCTTTTGTGGGCAGCCTGGGGCTTGCTAAATTTTTCATGTTTGGTTGGTCAAATATTTTGTAAAACATTTTCTTTATGAAAACAAGCTCCTTAAAAATGTGGAAAATGACTTCCATAATGGAAGTAGGGAAAACTAGTTGCACCTAGTGACATTCCAAAAAAATGTAGATTGCCGTCATTAGTTTCTTTCTGTAAGCTCTGATAAGTTTCACTCGATGCATTCGAGTAATTACTTCACCATGCTGGTAATTTACAAGCATCTGGAACATTACCAATTTTTTTTTAAAAAAGTAATTTACAAGCATCTGGTTATTTTCCTTTCTCAGGGTCTCTCCAGCAAGTCTGCTTTCGAGAGACATAAACAGTGGCTTCAACATGCAAAAACTCGTTGCGCCCGGCACAAGATTATGAAAGTAGGTATCTCTGCAGAGTTAGAATGGAAATTTATCATGTACTGCTACTACTACAAATTAACTGATGTGGAGCTCATCTTTTCTTTAGTTTTTGAGAGAGCAAGCTGCACTATCAGCATCTGAAATAACTGTGGATTCAGTTAAGGAATTTGCTGCTGAGTCTGAAGGGGACAGCACAGTGGAAGAATTAGCAGATTACTCAAAGGGAACCAAACATTCATGGGAGAAAATCCTCAAGAATGTTATGGAGGTATCATCTGCAAGGATAAATAGTGAAGATATTTTCCAACTCCGTAGTGGTAGTATTCAAATTCCCAAGGTGAATGGGAAACATAATAAGTGCATGCAGCATACGAGTTTGAAGGCCACAGGGGAGACATTGTCACAAGGAAATGGTGTTGGTGAAATGATACTTGCTAACATACCAAGGTACAGGGATGTTCTGCCCGGATTGGACGGCTGGCTGGCTAGCAAAGTTGCAACTTGGCAGAACCTTGAAGGGCACTCTGTCCAGTGGTTTTGTGTTGTCAGCATAGATCGAAAAGGTAATGTTTGGTCCAGAGGCTAATTATTGCAAATGAGCATCAAACTGGATAAGGCATCGCTGCTCATCTATATTAGATGCATTTGCGAACTTTGCAATGTATTGGTGGTTCTAAAGTCCTTTGAAAAATCATTACCACTAGCAGTGCTAGTATTTGTTTTTTCCTTTGCTTTAGGCATTTGGTAACCGAAACCTACTGCTAGGCCTGAAGTGCTCCCAACCTACAGGTTCTAACATTCCTAGGGATCTAATCCAAGACTTTAGTTAAGGGTGGAAAAATCTTAGCCACTACATTTAGTTTAGTTGTGAGAGAGGCTTGTCAGAATGACGTATTTAAAAGTTTGACTACCTTGAGGATCAAATTTTCAAGTTCAAAAGAATGACATCAAACTTTTGAATAACCAGAGAAGTGTGTGAGAGTATGTCGGGATGGGGGCGGGGGGGATTCCATCGATGTAGAAGATCTAACTTTTGTTCTGTTTTATTTTTTATGTATTTTTGTATAGTTCCAACTACATGTATTCCAGTTTATTAACCTTATGTTCATTTACATATGAACATTATCTATGACCTGGTATTTGTTGACTAATAGAAATTTTAATGTGTATCCAACATTTTTCATGGTTTATTACTTGTCATGGCTGACATCTCAAACCACTATAAATCATTTAGGCATGATGGCGGATATTACTTCAGCATTGGCAGCTGTAGGCGTCACCATATGTTCTTGTGCGGTGAGTTGGAACATTTATCATATCATTTTTCATCTAGGCTTAAACTCCTGAGCTATACATATTGATAATCAACATTTTAATATGGTCTGGGTTGACTGTGAAGCTGTCTGCAGTTGATGTCTGAACCTAGCTTGCATTTGTGAAAAATTTCAATATTGTTTTATATTTAATAGCTGAACCTTGATTTAGCCAGAACTAGACACCTTTATTAGCTAGCTATATTAGGCAGTTTGTGACAAAGTACAAGACACTGATAGCTCTTTAATCATTACTACTTCAGCAATAGCCAGCAGGAGCTAACAATGAGAACTGTGTTGAAAGAGGATTTTACAAGTTCAAGTTAGTCAATTTGATCTAGTACTTGCGTCTTGGTGCAGTGGGAGAGGATACATAGCTTCTTTTTTCTTGATATGCTGATAGCAAAGTAAGAAGAAGATGAATGTCATACCTGGCATGATTGAAAACATCGTGGGAGGGAAAGAAATGGGCAGGATAATAAAGGAAATTTGTGCTGAACTATTACTAGGAGGGGACAAAAACAATTCTATCTATTAAATTTCATTCTTCTTTTGGGATATTACCTTTTTGAATATTCATTCTGAAAAATGTACAAAGCTTTAAGCAATTAAATAGTCATATTCTCCTCCCGTTTCAATTATTTTAGAATTCTCAATTGTGAGGTGACTGGATTGTTACTTCAATAAAACTGCAGGCTGAGACGGATAGAGAAAAGGGGATTGGTGTCGCACTATTTCATATTGAAGCAGACCTAGAGAGCTTGGTATGTCTTCTGAACATGCTTCAGTAATCTCTCTCTCTCTTTATATGTGCTACTTTATGAATTCTCAGCTCCCGCAGGTTGGTGCAAGTTTGAAGATTGACATGATCCTAGGTGTTTTGGGATGGTCCACGGGCTGCAGTTGGTCAGAGAACAAACAGTTTCTAGAATGCTAATCTAGTGGCCTGGTGAAGATCGAGTACTTGCCCAGCTGTTGAAAGCTTGGGGAAGAAAGTTTTGTTCAGTGAAACCTGACTTCTTTTCTTCTAGTTGTCAATTTTTTTTCTCCTCCCACCTTCTTGACAAGTATAGAAGCAAACAACATTAGGTTATATGGTGTCGGGCGACTGTATATAAAGGAAGAGTAGCAACCAGTTATACTTGTAAAGGAATTTTCAATTATACCAACTCCAACAAAATTATGTTAAGACATTTATACAAAATAAATATATTAAATATCTTCCATCTCATCCTTTTTTCACATCTATTTCTAATGTGGTACAGGTTTGACACAATGTCACCGTGCTCCTTTGCCTTCTGCGTCCCACCACCGCTGCGAACTCCCAACAGAAAATGTTAAAGAGTGCAGACATTGCAGTTGGCTAAATATGCCAAGTTTGCATCAATAGTCACAACGAAACTGTGAGTTCAGTATACAAATTGGATCTATTTTTGCCTTCAAATGACAACTAATATACAAATTGGCAGTGATTGGTCTACATCGAAGCAGGTGTACGTACACCATTCCTTTTCAGCTCAAACTATACATATAATTTTTTTATTTATGTTTAGTCTGGCACATTATATTAGTGAGTGCAATATTATTTCGCACTCACTGCCTTCACTGATTTAAAATCTTGAATCCGCCTATAACGGGAGGAAGAATGCCTTTAAGCACAAAGTACAAGATTAGTACTAGTAGTGCTCCCAAAAGCACTCTCCTTCTGGTGATTGCAGTAATATCATCCAGGTACATGAACTTCGTTCGGTAGCTATCAATGCCATCATAGTTCTGTTGGCAACTTGTTATGGCAACATCATTCTGTGTGCTTTTCAAATTACAGTTTTCTACCCTAGATAGTTCATCTTCTACAATTCCTTCTTCATGTTCTTTCACATTATTCTCTTTATCTTCCAACAGAAGTTCATGGTTAAGAGTCAGCTGGCCAAATTTTGTCACTGTTGGATTGCTCATAGGAGTGTCTTGCTCCTTCCAAGATGTCATCTTCAACTTCCTGTGTAACATCTTCTTTGTCTATGTCGTCTTCGTAGTCATCATCTTCTTCTTCATTAACAAAAACAATCTCTTCATCATCATTTTCCTTCAAAACATTTCCTTGACAATCGGGTTCAAAGCTTTGTTTCTCAATCAGCTGCTCTGTTTCTAGGCTCTGCTCTTCACTAGCTGCAGGATCCATCGCATCTGTTTCTTTTATCACTTGAAATCACTTCAGAGGCATTTCTCATATAATATTGGCCTTTACTTGTTTAACAAAAGCAGTCGATGTGCAACCAACAAAGCAAAAACATCTGAAAAAATTCTGAACCCTCCATATTGAGGAATTTTCATAGTTACGACTAGGGGTGTACAAAATTGAATCAAAAATTGAACCAAACCGCAAATCGAGTCAAACCGAAAAGAAAATCCGACTAGTGGTTTGGTATTGAAAAAAAACCCGACTATATTTGGGTTGGTTTGGTTTAAACTAAAAAAAACCAACTCGAGACCAAACCAACCCGACATTATATATGTAATTT